GAATAAAATAACTTGTTGGAGCTAGTTTTTGTGGCCAAAAGTGAATAAACGTGGGAGAGAAGAGATGAGGGGGATACAATGAAATACTTGAGGGGTTTTTTTATGCCGCTTGAAAGAAAAATAGAAGGAGGGTTTACTGTGAAATAAGATGGGGAATTAGGGGTTTGTACGAAATTTTTCCTAATTTTTTTTACTCTTTTTTATTTTTGTTTGTACGAAATTTTTCCTAATTTTTTTTATTCTTTTTTATTTTTTTAAACTGGGGCTGGACTGGGGTGAGGTGCTCAGACTTGCCCGAGTGACTCGGCTCGGTCAAGGGCCAAATACCTTAGCCAAGTTGATTTTCAAATATTGATTTGAACTTTGGTAGATTTGTGGTTCTTGAATATGGGATTCAAACTTTGAAAGTTACAGCAAGAGATAGAGAGGGGTGATGGAATGGTGAAACATAGAGAGAGAAGATGTGAGATATAGGGAGAGCGATCTTGATGGAAAAAGGGAGAGAGAGGAATGGCAAAGATGATGACATTTGTAAGATATGGGTCTCCGCGGTTTTGTCTTACACCCTCTTCTATATCATCTTTTGGGTTCGTTCAACATGCTCTTGCTTGGAGAGAGAGAGTGGAGGCTCAAAGCAGATTGGCGAAAAGGAGAGTGGGAGGTGCACATTGATGAGGGAGAATTGTTGAGAGAGTGGAAAGAGAAGAAATGCCGTGTGAGAGGAAAGAGGGGTGAAAGGGTAGAGGGAGAAAGAGGAAGGGTTTCAATAGGGGACAGAGAGAGAGGGCTGGCAAACTTGTAAAATAATCCAACATAAAAACCCTTGTTGGGGCTCCCCAAGCACATGCGTGGCCGGCAAGGCGGTTGGGAAGCCTCACTACACCGCACTGGGCCTTGACGGGTGGTGACCCTAGGTGACTGGCTAGTTGCCCAGGGAACTGCCTTGGTAGGCGCCATCACCTGGGCGCATGCGCCTAGTGCGGGGCGGTGAGCTTGGGAGGCCGACTAGTCGCTCGGGGAATCGCTTTGGCTGACGCCCAGTCTGCTCAGGGTCCTTTTGTGAGGGCCAAAATTTCCCTCACCAAAAGGGCCAAAAATGTCATTTGCCCCCCTTGAAGAGGGGGGAAATTGTATTTGGGGGCATTTTTGTCCCCCCAAAACCCTAGACAACTATTCCTTTACCTCAAAAGCATATGTTTTAACTCAATCAAAATTTTTAATGATGAAATATTCAAAATTTTGGGTTTCTTGCGAAATCAAGAGGCATTCGACCCAAAATGTTTTGGGCATTAAAGAGGTTTCAAAAGAGAGATTTTGGCAACTGAAAGTTCTGATTCAAGCCCACTTCGATTGGTTTTCTAGAGGTTAGTAAGTTTAATTGTTTATGTTTAGGGTTTCATATTTCTTGTGAGTTATGTTATACTTTTTAATCATTTTCTTGTTTTTATTTTTGAAGTTTGGCTTTACATTTATGATGAAACTTTATAAGTGTTTCTTTTTGTTTTTAGGGTTTGCTATTTTTCTTATTATATTATATTTTTGCCATGTTTGTCTATATTTCTACTTAATAATGCACATTTGAAAATTTATAATATATTTTGGCTATATTTGGCTTTGTTTCTATTTTTAAATTTATAAATTAGTTAAAAAATTGTAGGGGATGTGCTTCTGACCTGGGCAGCTTCATGCATGTGTTGATCCATTCCTCTTGTTTCCCCTCCTGAGTCCTGCCACTGCTCCTGCTCTAGCTCCTAGCAACTATGAATTACTCGTACCTAATTTTCTAATATTTCTGTGGATGTTTAAATTTCTTCTTTTGGTTATAGAAACAATTTATGTAACATATTTGAAATTCTAAGGCCCCATCTTGATGGACCCAGTTCTAGGACTAGGGCCATTTTTGCTCTCTGCCCAGCTTGTTCAACTCCACCAACAGGTGTGTCCCTTTTATATCTCCACTTATTGGGCAAAGCATCCCTAAAACCTCCCTAAAGCTGCAGCAAAAACTCTGTTGTTCCCCCATTTATAGATAAACCCCTTTCTAGAGTCAAGCCGTTCAAAAGGGTCTTGCATGTATATTTGAAACAGTGAGAAAAGAAGACCTTTATAAATATGAATGCAAATTAAGAGAAGAGCGAGTTTATCTGTGATGTGGGTTTGAAATTTTCTATGTTCAAATAAATCCAACTCAATTTATAGCGCAAGTAGTTTTGATTGGAAATATAGTATCTTAAAACAATGTAAGACTGAAGAATAAATATAAGTTTTGCTTTGGGCTAACCACCTCAATATTTTTGTAAATTGAATGGCAACAGATTGTGATGTTCCAGACTAACCTGTTGTTGGGAATGGAGTCATTTGATCGGCACCAAGAATGGCGACTAGATGTTGATAACATGTCATATGAGGTATATCAAAACAAGAAATGATAAGATTAGAGAGCTTTTAATGGGTGACCCTGTTTCTCTCATTTACTAATTACTATGATTTTTGTCTCTCTTTTTAATATATGGGATTGTATATTAGGAGACCATTTATTTTGGTACAACGAGGTCACAATTAGTACTAGCCATTAGATGTCAAACTGGATGGCTTGGGGTGTGTCACAAAGTTCGCGAATTTTTTTTTTGAACTTGGAATCTAGTCAATGATACACTCACAACTATCCGATTTGAAATCTAATGGAAGATTGTGATATCCTTGTATTAGTAAATGGTCTCTTTGTATATTTTTCCTTAATATATACCCTTTTTGTGTTGTCGTTTTACTTTTTTGGTGATAAAACATATTAAGCTAATAGAAATTTGTGTTTTGTCTAATTGGTTTGTTTATGTTGTAAAAACAGGATTTGCTTGAGCTTGGGGAAAAGATTGGTTATGTTAACACAGGTTTGAAAGAGGAAGAGATTGTCCACTGCCTCAGGAAAATGAAACACTCCAACATCTTGAACACTTCCCTATCACAGTTTCTCTGTGAAGGAGAGAACAAATGTTCTATATGTCAGGTGGTTCTTCTTTACCTCCAAATATACTAGAATTTCTCTTCATACTACTTGCTTTCACTAGTCACTTGAACTTGTTTATCCTATGCATTTTGTGACAAAACATGCTTGTGCAAATCAGTTCATATCTTTTTTGTGTGTGTGTGTGTGAGAGAGAGAGATGCTCACAGTTTTGGTGCATCCAGGAAGAATATGAAGAAGATGATGACTTGGGAAAGCTAGACTGTGGACATGACTACCATCTGCAATGCATAAAGCAGTGGCTTTTGCGAAAGAATTCTTGCCCCATTTGCAAGATCGGTGTTGTTCAAAGTTGAAAAAACAAAACGTGAAGTCATATTGTGCTTTCAATTTCTTGTTCTCTACATTTTTTTCAAGCAGATCTTTTTGTTTTCCTTAACTTTCGTTATTCTTCCATGAGGTTATGTACAGATTCTGGGGTTGAGAGGAACAACAATCATTCTTTGTGTTGTACCCTATAGATGTGGATTCCATTTGGTTAATTCAGAATTTTGGGGATTTTGCATCACCCCCAATTATGGTTGTTTTTCACCATTTTTAGTACATTAGATTACCAAGTAAAGAAACCTAATCATGACAATGGCCAGAAATGGGCATAGCATGTACTCAGCACAATGAAACTGAGAATAGTTCCAATGACCTGTTAGGCCATTGTCATGGGGCTATTTTCTTGGTACAGCCTCATTTTGTGGCCCTTATCCTAGAGTGTAGCTAGTTATGGGTCAGGTTCATAAGGATCTCCTAAGTTTGGTGGCCTATTTTTGTTAATAATTACAAAATATATTATACCAGATGGCTCTTGAAGAAATAGCCCTGGGGCTTGTATAGATCGTAGACAACTTTTTGAATTTGAAATACCAGGGCATCTGGGGCGTTTATGTCTAGAAATATTTGGTAATGAGATGAATTAGGATGGGCTCTATCTTTTGCTTTTGACTATTACTGAAATGAATAAAATAGTTTTATAGAAGGAGCTAAAAATGATGATGATTTTCTTTTCCAAGTGGAAACTTTTTTTTTTTTTTTGCTGCTTGTGTCAAAATTGATATACACGTGTATATCAAACCACATCATCATCAGAGCCGTTTTTTAACTATATAGGATCAGTTGCATGAATTTTGGTTCATTATTCTACTTTGTCAGAGGTTTTTTAGATTCATGGAAAGTTTTGATAAAGTTTATGTTGGCCGCTTACCTAATATTGACTGCTTCTTCTACCCAAGCTTGGAATGAGTTAAGAAAAAGTTTATAGTCCTCACTCTTCTCAAATATATATAATTTCTCAAATATATATATGAAGTTAACAGACACTACAAAAATTTAAAATATTTGCACTAACAAAATGGATTTTAAAACCCATCCTCACAATAACGTTTGTGCTCCTTGCATGAATATAAAATTGGGATCTTTCAGTAGTTGAGTACATTCTGGGATAAACAGGACAGGCCTATCGGATCTCCATGAGATCATGCTGCTTGAGTACCTAAGGCCTGCCCGACTGCCCTCTTAACCTTGGAGCAGAGCCATTCAAGCCACACAATGAGACCGACCTTGGGTATGAGAGGAACCTCAGCCCAATACAGTCTCTAGCAAGTTCTTGGCAGACCATGATTACCTTTGTAACTTTCGTCAAAATTCAGTTTCAAATACTCTTTGTGAGGCAACAAGAAAGGGGGATCCACCAATTAGGCATGGATTCTTTGGGTAGGGATATGTGCACTGCCTAGCTGAGTTTGGAGTAAAAAACAACTCTACCGTAGTTAGAGAAGGCCTTGCCATCATGATTTTTAGGGGCCCTTTGGGTACCTCGAAATCTATTATGTGAGAATAGATTACAAAAATATGGCATTTTCACTGTTTGGGTAGTCCTAAGAAAATGGAAAGAAATTATGTGACATTTTCTCCAAAAATCAAGAAATCTATTACGCCCAGTGATAGGTGAAAAATCTATTACGTGACGGGTAATTTTATCAAAAATCAAGAAATCCATTATGCCCGGCGATAGATGAAAAATCTATTACGAGAGTGACGAGTAATTTTGGAAAAGAAATTACTCGTATTTCTTCAAAAATCAGTAAATGTGAAAAATCTATTACGTGACCGGTAATTTTGCCAAAAATCAGGAAATCCATTACATGCGGTGATAGGTGAAAAATCTATTACAATAGTGACGGGTAATTTTGGGATAAAACATCTATTACGAGAGTGACATTTAATTTTAGGAAAAAACGTTTTTGCCTACCCTATCTCTCATTAAAAAAATCTTCTTAAACCCTCTCTTCATAATAACTTGGTGATCTCCTTTTGAAGCTCTTCCCTTATTGAAGGCATCAGCTGTTATATAAAAACAAAAATTATAAAAGTAAAAATCTGTAATCAATTATAAATTACATTACACAATCATAATATTTCACACAACATAATGTGATCTCTCCCTTTTTAAGCTCATCCCCTCTTATGAAGGCATCATTTTATATAAAAACAAACATAATAAAACTAAAAATCAACAATCAATGATAAATTACACCACACAATCATAATAAAAAATTTCATACAACATAATCCTCATAAGAGATTACTAAAATCTCAATTGAAATAACGTATCTCATTAGTCTCCTCCAATACCTCAAAATTTTATACTCCAAGTACCAAAACTTCTAGTTTACTAAGCAAACTTTTTCCCATTTTTTAACTCGTACCCTACAGATTTTGAATTGTATCATAAATTTATTATTTATTTAAAATTATATAGAGAGACATTCGAAAGACTTCTATATAAAATAAATAAAAATAAGGCTTATCATAATAAAATCATGTTATTCCAATCATATTTTTTTAATGACTTATCATGTTGAAACCAATGTCATGTTAGAAAATATGTAATTGCATATAAGTCCCAAAGGCACTTAAAATAAGTAGGAAATAGTGTCATGACTGTAAAATGGTACAAGTTATTATTAGAAAATATTTTTGGAATGGTAATAATGTTATTATTAGAAATCTTTTTGGAATAGTGTGATGATGATGATTTTAATTCAGTATTTAAGTGGAATTTTGTGACAAAAAAGAAGGAAATGATAATTCTACATTTTACTGAAATTTTGTGACAAAAAAAAAAGAAATGATAGTTTATAGGCATGTGCTGGTAAAATGTTGGTAATGCATTTCCTATATTTCTTCCAGACATAGCCAAGAAATGATAGTTTATAGGCATGTGTTGGTAAAATGTTGGTAATGCATGATGATGATGATTTTAATTTAGTATTTAAGTGGAATTTTGTGACAAAAGAGAAGGAAATGATAATTCTACATTTTAGTGAAATTTTGTGACGAAAGAAATGATAGTTTATAGGCATGTGCTGGTAAAATGTTGGTAATGCATTTCCTATATTTCTTCCAGACATAGCCAAGAAATGATAGTTTATAGGCATGTGTTGGTAAAATATTGGTAATGCATTTCCTATATTTCTTCCAGACATAGCCAAACAATAACAATGTATTTCTCAAGTTGCATATAAATACTACTCAAACTGTAACAATCCATTTACAAATAATGTATTACGCTAATAATATATTTTATAAACAATATATTTTCAGGTATCCAAATGACCCTTTAGTGTTCGTTCGTATGTTCAAGACTAGCACTTTTGCCTCTGAATGACCAATTGTTTCTTTCCAGCTAAATTGACCTGATAGTGGTGATCATTGTAAGCCACATAAGAAGTTCTAGTTTAGGGAGAGGTGGGAAACACTCATGTGAAAAAGATGGACAACACAAAAGACTAGCAAACAATGCAAACCAAGTCTCTCTCTGCTTGGAGTTGCTTCCTTTGAGCATAGGGTATGTTGATCTCAGCAAAGAGCATACTCTTTGCTTGATCCGCTTGCTCTCGGCTCATCTGTTGCTATGTCTAAGAATCTATCATTGGCGATTATCAACTAGCATAGTCTGGATCAGAAAATCGACTCGGCCAAAATACTTGGGACTTGACTAAGACGAGTTGAAATAATAATATATTTCAAGTTTAAAAACATGCTGTACAAGTTGAGATAATAATACATTTAAAGTTTAAAAACATGTTATGCAATGCCAAAACTCGCCCTCGAACATGGGTCGAAGCCAAGTTACTCGATCGAGTCTCAAAACGGTGGTTTGGAGTTTTGAAATAGTTGCCTCATACACAATCATACAAATAGCAAACAGGGTCCGCCTGCTTGTGAAAGTAGGAGATCGAATCCATGGTTCTTTGGACTCATGCTCTCTTCTGTGCGATCCAGCCAGCGTGCCTCTCTGCTGTTAAACTGCCAAGAAGCATTGTAGAGCCCTCAGGATATTGGCTGTGCACAAATGACTTGATGGAATGCCTGAGGCAGTGTACATAAGGAGAGATTGTTCGCTAATGGCTAAACTACTGAAGCAATACTGTGGCTCCACCTAGGGTTACGACTGGGCCCGGTTGGGCCACGATCTAAGGTTTCATGGATCTGTGCTAGGCTAGGCATACTAGGCCCGAATTATTTTCAACCAGGGCCTGGCCTGCCCTGATCTGGCATGAAAGTACTATAAAGTATGTGTTTTGTGAATTTTGAATCATTCTAATTCAGAACAAACTCCAAATTGGCGGCAAACCAGTCCAAATATCACAAACAAAAAAAACAAAGGTTAGATAAAGGAAAAAGTCTATATAGAGTCGTGGCTCTAAACAATTAAATTAGAGCCCATCTCAGAAACTTCACTAGAAAAGGTTGTTTTGATGCCTAAATATCATCAAATTGATAATCTCGACATCAAGATGCATGGACACGAGAAAAAAATAGATTTCAAGTTTTGAAAATAGTGCATCTTGTAATGCATTTTTTAACCGTCAATTTTTAGGATTTTTAATTTTTCATAGACATGCTCTATCTACACTACTTTTTAAGCTTTAAATTTTTATAATTAGAGATGAAAATATATTTTAAGGTTATAGCAAAGATTTCCAATATTAAGACCATAGTTCTCGATACTATTTGAAGGTGGGCTCTACTTTGATTGTTTAGAGCCTCGACACTATGCAAACTGCACCCTTAGATAAAAGTGGCAGGGACATCAAAACCAGTGTAGGACAAATTGAACCGGAAAGGTTAACCAAATATGGGGCCGAAAGCGGTTACTCTGTATTAACCGATAAACCGGCCGATTCAACTGTCCCAACCGGGCAAGTCCCGAGGGTAAAAGAAGGTGTGAAAAAAAAAAAATACAAAAAAATCTAATAGAATATGAAAAATATATTTAAAGCATGATTAAACAAAGCACATCAAAAAGCACATCAAAATGAAGTTGAACATTAATGAAAAATAGATTTTAAATAATCGATTTTTGTCCAATGGTATTCTTAATTTTTTTTAAACAAAAGATGGAAAAATGTGAAAATAAGTATTAATGGCCAAAAAAGTTTCCAATCTTTTCCAAGATGATGAAAAAATTAAAAAAAATATTAAAAATAAAATATTTTATTTATTGGATTTTATATAAAAT